TCAATCTAGCAGAACACACCTACGCAACAGCAAACACCTGTCAGTCACATGTTCCAATATTTCGGCTCACTTGAAAAAGGGGTGGGTTCAAACAAAAGGTGCCATGTTCTAAATTATATATTAACATATCCTGATGTAAATAACTCATATTCATCTTTTGATCTCAAACCCAAATGTCTTCAGTGCATCGAAAAAAACAACAGAACTGACTTTGCCATTCCAGCACTTTGAGAAGAGAACTGTATTTATTCCACATTATTTTTTGTCCTCTTTGCTCTCTTGTTCTCTCTTCTCTGTCTCACACATACAGTTTAACCACAAATTTAGCTGGTTGTTTCGAACACTTAACATTTACTCCACAAATCTATAGATAAGAAACAGAAATATGTTTCAAGTTCATAAACTATGTAAACTATGTGCATTGTTTAGTGGGGAACCCTTGGGACCTTACAAGGCCTAATGATTTCAGTGAAAGACATTGTGTGTACAATTTTTTCATTCATTTTTTTAATATAATGTCATCATGCTTCTTATATTTAAAGTGTCTTGTATTTGAACAAGTATTGTAGTACTACTCTTTTTTTATTCAGTTTTGGCAGGAAATAAAAAGATTGCATTGTTGAAACACCAATGCAAAAAATATGACTTCTGGAAGTTATGTCACTGACTGTGGGCATGAATGGCAGCTTAATAAAGAATTGTTAAAACTCAAAATTATTTTTCATTTATACACAAATAATATGAAATAGGAACCACTGCTCGTAAAGAGGAATTGATTTTTCAAAGTTTCTGCATAATTCAGTGGTTGGGATGTAAACAAAGTTATTCAGAGTGGTTTAATGTGAAATGGTTCATTGTAGAGATTTAGATTTCTTTACAGTGGTGGTGATAGGAACCAGTGGGGTATATCACAAAGTGGGATTTATCAGTTTAGCCAGATAAGTGAAGCCTGTCTAAGGGGAAGAAAGCTGAAGAATATTCCTATTGGACAATGCGCAACTTTGGGTTTAAGACATCTGGCTAACTGAATAATCTTGCCTTGTCAAAAATCCCCCAGGGGTTGCCATGTTTACAACACAAATATATCCATTTTGTTTACTATCCAAAAACGTTAGCGAACCTACATGTGTCTTCTGAGTTTTTCTATCTAATGTTGATTATATAATTAAATAGTGGTAAAATTGAAAATAAAAATAGGATACCTGGTTCCTGTCACCAACACTGTGAACAATTCTGACTCAGTTTCCCGAGAATAGAGAATTTCAACTAACATGCATAAAAAATAGTATTTTAATTTTTAAAATGAATTCAATGAGGACATCAGAGTGTCTGCAAGAATCTTCATCTACTAAGGACTTTTGAATCCACTTTTTAAACACTTCAAATGTAACTGAAGACCAAATTTATTAAAATAACTCACTCATATTGTTTCTGTATGTGTGTGTTAAGTGAAGGCTCTTGATTTGTAAAAAGTAAATTAACCCTTTTAAGGGACCCACAGACACCCTGTTCACTTAAAGGGTAACTCCACTGATTTTTCAAAAATTCAAAATAATTAAATGGTTGAGATGTAAAAAAGTCATTCAGAGTGGTTTGGTGCAAAATGCTGATGTCTGACATCATTTTATGATAGTTTTGTATTCTAATCTATTAATTTTAATTCATAGTGGAGGGATGCATTCAGAGTGTTGTACGACAAAGTAGCCCCCAAAGAAAACTTCAGATTTATGACAATTGAACCATCATTTTCCATGTAAAAACATGTGTACTTCACATGTGGTGCTGGATAGCAAAGAAATGGCTATATTTGTGTGGTAGACATTGTGACCCCTGGTTCCTATCACCACCACTGTAAAGATATCTAAGTTTCTCTACAGCGGCCCATTCCATGTCATACCACACTGAATGACTTTGTTCACATCTTGAAAACAGAATTAATAAGAAATGTAGAAAAATTGGTGTAATTCCCCTTTAAGAACAAAAGACTGAAATGCCCAAAAAAGGGAGTGACAGTGAAAAGTGCCTGTCTGAAACAAAAAATCTGGAGCCTCTTTAATTAAACATTATTTAATTTTAAGTTTTTTAATGTTCTCAGCATTTGTGTATGAACGCACAGAGCATACACTCAAACACAGGGTTCTTCAGGGTCACAGCCCTGCGGAGTTTAATGTTACATTCCTCCTCCTCATCAAAGACACCTGATTCAACTCATCAGCTAGTTTAAAATGTCTTCATAAGGTGAATTCAGAGTGCTAAGAAAACTAAAACACCAGCCTTTGCAGTACATGGACCAGGAAGGAACCCTACTTGAAACTCCTGCCCTAGTGTTGGTAGCACACTGACACTGCCAATTTGAAACATTTGTAAATATGCATATAACTTTATATTTTCATGTCAAGTTTTGTTATCCATCATTTAAACGAGAACTGTCACATATTAAAGAACACCAAAGTCATGTGAGGTGCATGAATGTAGCTTTTTTAAGTTTTGCTCTGGAGCTGATATGATGGTAGCTAGCTAATATAACTAACTAGTAGTTCCTAAACTCAAAAATGCATAAAGCCATCAGTTATCTAGCGACATGGCTACATATCGGTTTTTATAGATAACTGTGTCAAAACCCCAGGTAGCTATGGGCAGCTATGTCTGGAATACTTAGCCAACGTTGGAATAAGAATCATTTGAATAAGTAACGTTAGTGTACAGTTAGCACAATGCTAACTGATGTTCTAATACTTGTTAAGAAGCAGCTAAATTGTCCTTGTACCTGTCAGTAAAAAGTTAAAAATTAACCTTCTCGCTGCTCAACTACATTTGAGGCAAGTGGAGAATCATTTACATTTGATTTTCATTGAACTAATGCGTTACATTAGCTAGCTGACCAGTTTAACACTACAATCTGCTTGCTAGCTCGCCAACTAGCTTACTTAGCTAATTCACCATTTGGGCTTTTTTTAATTTGCACATTTTATGCTTTTCTACCTTAATTCATGAGCCAAAATAAATTAAGAAGAACTTATGTCTATCACATATTAATATATTCCACCAAACGTAACATACTACAGTGCCAAAAAACAACAAATAATTAAAGTCACTTACTTTCTTCAGCTCATTCTTCTGCTGCAGCCTTTTCAAACCAGAGGGAAACCATGGACGTGGGAAACCGATGACAGGACATTACATTATGTGTATGTTCCCTTTCAGGTCCGCACTACCAACCCAGGAAACTACCCAGCAAATTATGAACTAACCCATATATGTGACCCAATTTCAGTAATGTAGCCATTGGGTTGTTGAAATAACCTAGTATAACCCAGTGTGAGTTAGCAATTTTGTTAAACTTAATAATTACTCTATATAGACTTTCTGATGTAAAATACATTAGAAATGTACTATGAATGTTTATTAGATCAAAAACTGGACATTTTGTGGGAATTCATATCACCTTTACAGCTGAGCATGTTCTCTTTTAGAGCGAGGTCTGTTGACCTTAGTAGTGCTCAGACACAGGTTTCCCTCAGGATGGACTTTATTAGACTTGTAGAGTGTGTTAAGTGGGTGGATGTGGCACCCTGCAATACCAGCTTCAGACTAAGGAGGCTGCTGTGGAGCACAGTATCACACACACTTTTTAGGTCCAAACCTTCCTGCTTGGCCTAAGCTAAATCGGGCGGGAGGTGCTGAGTCACAGCCTCCCCTACGCTGTTTAAGGGTTCCCCTTTGTGGGGACCAGATTTTTTTGTCTTCACAACGTTTTTGTGTCCCCATTCGGTTTGTGTGTAAACAGGATGATAAATAGATAAAAGAGATACACACACACTTTGGATCTGGTTTTCTCTCTCAGCTTCAGTTCACTTCATATGATCAGTGTAAATAATCCAACAGTAACTGTGCTTACATCCAAAGGATTTTCTTACAGAAAATGTTTTAAGTTTTCAGAAAGTTGTTCGCTGTTGGTGATGGAAACAAAAACTGTTGGTTGTATTTTATGAATGTTAGTAAAACTTTTTTCATTCAACTTTAGTGGATAAATGTTTATCAACACCTGTAATGTTTGTCTGAACTTCACACGCCTCTTACAACAAACTCAGACGGCGTGGAGGAAAGACGGAGCTGAACTGAGGAGACCAGAGCGTTTTTAAAAGGAAGACTGACCCTTTCAGCTCTTACAGAGAGAGACGTCCAGAAAAGACTACAGCCTTTCTACATGGAAAGAGTTCAAACAGCTCCATATGGCAGACAAACGGAACAGTTCCACAGAAGAAAACAACAATAAAATATAGAATAAAATAAAATAAATGATCTCAGTTTATGGGGAAGTGAGTGAAGCTAAAGGTAACAACATTCATTTAATCAGAGAAACAATCAAACACAACTTTTTATTGATAAACCAAAACTTACGTAACAGCATTTTGCAGATTATTCCATCAATACATAAAGCATTTTAGTCTCCATTAAAAGTGAATATTTTTATGCTTTTTCATTTAAACTCTGTATTTTGTGCAGAAAATCGACAGAAAGTCGATGTAGCTACAAATAATAAAACATGTAGAACAACAAAACGATCCATCAGTGATTGTGAAATATCTCAGCACATGAGTGTCTGTCCTACAAACACCAGCCTTTGCAAACAGAGAGACAAACAAACAGTCTCTGTAAGAGAGGGGGAGCAGTTCTCACGAACATACAGAGTTTGGACTTTGTACGGACTACAGAGTACACCTCAATGAAAATGAAAATGGGTTTGGCCAATGTGAGATCGTTCATGAACAAAACTTTTATTTTGAAGGACTTCTTCTTAACCCACGAGCTGGACGTTCTTTTTATTTATTTATTCATTTATTTATTTTTTGCTTTAATTGAGTCAACAAAAAATAGTGCAAAAAGGAGAAATTTGTCAATAGAAAATACACAAAAGAAAAAAACAATAAAAACAATAAAAAAGAATGAAAAAGGAGCAAGAAAGAAAAATAATAATAATAAATAAATAAATTAGGTAAGAAGATATTTGGTCATGGACATACACAGTTTTTTGTTCATTTGCTATGTTATTTTTTTTCAAAAAAGATAAACTTTGAAGGAACTGAGTGAAGACACAGATAAACAAATTAAAAAAGGGTGTACATTTTTTTCATTTACAAATGTGAATATGATATTTACCCAAAAGAATAATGGCATGTATTATTGATAAAAATAAAAAGCTTTATCTCTTGTTGCTGCCTCAACATTATAAGAAGTAGGAGAGTGAAAATCACCAAAAATCGCCAAAAAGAAGACATATTTTCCAACAAAACAGTAAAAAGACAAGAAATACCTATCACTATCTAGTAAATCCTGAACAAAGAAAATTCCTCTTTCAAACGAATCGGCTTTAAAAACATTTTCTATTTAATGTAATAGACCTGTTATTACAAATTATAGACTTAGGAGAAGAGAAATTGTGGCAAAATATCATTTTCCAGCTTATGGATAAAGGATAATTTTAAAGGGATTCTTGAACGTTGATAGTCACACTTAACAAGGAATTTGAGGCCACCAACTCTTTCAAATTTTGTGAGGAATATGATACCACAGAGACTGGGGTTTAGTAATTCAGTCTCTCAGCCATTTAACCCTGAACGTCCCAAGAAGAGATTCAAAACCTAAAGCTTTTAAACCCCCTTGCTCGTAATCTTTAATTACTTGAGATTTCTGTAAATAATATGATTTACTCCTCCACAAAAAATCAAATAAGATAAAATTGGCTGACTGAATTGTTTTCAGAGAAATATATAATGAGTGACATGGACAAACAAGCCTCAACACACCCTCTGTTTTAGACAAAAGAACATGATCTAAAATACACAAGTCTCTAGATAACCACAGATTCAGCAAACTCTTCACTTTAACTAACATAGGAAAGATATTCAACTCTTCCAAATTAGTTTTGAACATCTATCTAGGTGTTTTGAACATTTTTAGTTCAAAACACCTAGATATTTAACCTGTCTTCACAGGAATATTTGCAATTTCTTTCTGAACACAATTACGAACTGCAAGAAGTTCACATTTTTGAATGAAAGAATGTCTATAGGAAATTAAGTGTTGGTTGGAAGGCAGTTTGTCTCCAACTAAACGAAGATGAAATTGAAGTGATCCTCTTTGGCTCTCCCAAGCATACCAATGTTTTAATGAACAATCTTGGTGGACTGTTGGAGGATGTGAAACCTCAGGTAAATAACCTTGGGGTAATATCTGACCCTGACCTCAGGTTTGATAAACAAATTAACTCTCTTGTCAGGAGTTCCTTCTACCAACTTAAATTAAAAATTAAATCACTTCTGTTACACCAAGACCTGTAGAAGGTTATACACGCTCTCATTTCATTTCGCTTAGACTACTGCAACAGCTTGTACACGGGTGTTAGTAAGTCCTCAATAGTTTGTTTATAGTTAGCCCATAATGCAGCAGCTTGTCTTCTCACAGGCAAAAAAAAGAAGGACCACATCATCCCTGTCTTGGTATACCTCTCTGTATAGTACAGGATTCAATTCAAAGTTCTTATATTTGTTTTCAAGACACTAAATTGATCTGCACCATCTTATATAGGAGATCTGCTCAAACCCTATCCTTTCTCCAGGTCCTTGAGGTCATTAGATCAGTTGCTACCGAGTGTGCCAAAGTCTCAGCTGAAATTGAAAGGTGAGTTCAATCACAAGAGCGTATTCACTTATAGCAGCAGCACAACACAAATACATGCACAATAGCATAGCCTTCATTCACACATAAGCCAAATAAAATACTGTAGCAGCTTCGTTGGACTGATGCGATATTTAATGCTAGTGGCGTGGCATTATTGCAGCAAAATTGCATACAACACAAGGCACATAAAAATACATTCTAAGCCCAGCCAATTAAAGTCATTAGGAAATAAAACAACGTTTCCACACCTTAATAAAAGAGAGAACGGACACAGACATAGCTGTCCTCTTAGTAAGGAGTGCCCCCTTCTGGTCTAGTGCCGTCTACCCTTTTACTTAAGCTGATCTGCTTTTAAAGGACATGAGATTTATTAAGAAATCCCAAACCAAAGACAAACAAAAAGAAGCACACATAAAAAGACCTCATTTTTTTTAAAACCCAATTATTATAAAAAAAAATGTATAGGGGTGTTAATAAGTCTTGATTAAGATTTCCAACCCATTACAATTACTTACTTACTTACTAAGACAGAGAAATAGACAGAAAGAGAGAGACAGAAAAGGAGAGACAGAAAGACAAAAAGAAATAAAGAGAGAGAGTGAAAGAAACAGATACAAAGAGAGATAGAGAGAGGGGTGAAACTTTTCTATCTCACACACACTGAGGAGTCAGTATAAAGTGTAAATCCAGCGTAAAGCGGTTCAGTGAATGTGGATCTGAAAGTGTGTAAGTGTGTCAGTCTGTGTGAGTCAGTGGAGACGCTGAAGAAGGACAGAGAGCCGGCCGGACAGTCCAGATACACTCCTACTCTGTTAGACTGACAGGAGGGACCAGAGGTAGCAGTGCTGTTATAATTGTGACGAACAATGTATCTGTTATTAGAGCAGCTCAGACTCCAGGACTTTTCACTCAGTCCAAACCGACCATCACTGCGTCCTTTCCTGCTGATTCCTTTATAAGTCACTGCTATATCAACATCTCCGCTCCACTCAGCCTCCCAGTAACAGCGTCCAGTCAGACTCTCTCTACACAGAACCTGCTTATACTCATCAAATCTCTCTGGATGATCAGGATACGACTGCTCCTCTCTCGCACACACCACCTTTCTGTTCTCCTCATCTAGAGAGAGATGTGTGTTTGCTGTGTTTGGGTCCAGAGTGAGATCACAGGAATCTGAACACAAGAGGAGACATTAACACAGAGAGAGAGAGAGAGAGAAAGCGGGAGAGAGAGAGAGAGAGTGTGAGAGAGAGAGTGTGTGTGTGAGAGAACTTACATTTCTTTGGTCCTGGTTTCATCCATGTCTCCCCCCCATAATCCACCCTAAAACAGAGAGAGAGAGAGAGAGAGAGAGAGAGAGAGAGAGAGAGAGATAGAGAGAGCTGCCACTGTTAAAATGAGCTCCTGCAATATAATCAAAATGCACATCTTAAAATGAGACAAACATGAAACAACTTCAGAAATCATTATTACATTCCTAGCAACCATTTTTGAATGTTTATTTTTCTTATTTGGTTTCTTATTGACAGAGAGAATAGCTGCAAGCTGAATTCAGTACACAACGGCTGGACAAAAAGAGAGTCTGTATGCAGACTTTATCCATCTTTATGGAAACAACCTGATCTTCCACACTGCTGCCTCTTCTGCAGGGAAGTCTACAATCCTCAGCCACTACAAGTTTACTTTTAAGGAGGGCATCGGCAGAGAGAATTACTGTCTGAAAACTTGGACACTGACAACCCTGTACTGACCATCACTTACTACACTAAAGGCACAGTGTTAGTGCAGGGCAACGAGATCAGCCTGGACCCCTTTGAGGAGATCTTTCCCCTGCTGAAGGCTGAAGTGGAGAGAGAGGCGGCTGCTGTGGACAGTATAGGCTCTGAGAAAGACAGTGTGGAAGATCCGCCCACACTGCCCACCACAGCCCCTCTCCCCTCCCCTCCGACAAGCAGCTGAGAGAGAGTTCAAGAACAGGCCAGACTCTCGTACAGCGACACCAACAGCCCCATCTAGCAGCTCTGGGAGGAGGTCCAGCAGCTAAAGAGGGAGAGCCAGGCCAGCATAGCCAAGCTCAGAGAGATCCTGAGAGAGTTACAGTCCTGAGAGAGTTTTTCCATTCTTTTACATGCGCTCATTCTGTGTTAGCTGCTGGAACATTCAGGGTCTTTACTCCTCAGTTTTTAGACTGATAAGAAGAAATGCTGACTTTCTACAGAATATTGAAGGTGTAGACATCCTCATTCTCACTGAAACATGGTGTCGTGAAAGACATACCTACCCACTGTCCCTCAGGCTACTGGGAGATTATTGTGCCCTAACTCAAATTAAGTACAGTCCACTGCTGTCAAGAATCCACACTCCTCTAACAGAATCCCCTTATTATAAGGAGGAGTATCTAAACAATCTCTACACAGAGATCAGCCACTTCCATGCCCAGGGAAACGTGCTGCTGTGTGGAGATTTCAGTGCATTAACAGGAACATAACAGGACTATGCAGACCCAGAGGGCAACAAATGTGTTTGGCCAAAGCCCTCTGTACATCACACCAACCCTCAAACACAGAAAAAACCTTGACTGCGGTAAATAAGAGTGGCAAAGAGTTAGTGCATCTCTGTTAAGCTTTAGGTCTGTACATGCTTAACGGTAGAATCAGAGGAGACTCTTTAGAGAGGTTCATGTATTGTTCAGTCCTTGGAGCTGCTGTAGTTGATTATGCTATAACTGATGTGGATCCCTCCTCCATCAATGCATACACTGTCAGACAGCAAACTCCTTTGTCAGACCATAACCTAATTAATGTGTACCTGAAATGGTCAAATAAACCCAAACAAATGGCAGAAGAGTCCAGTAAACGGTTCACAGTCCACAGGAGTTACAGATGAGCTCTGGATAGCTCCAAAAAATTCATTCATGCACCTACATCAATTCATGTATCTAGCAAAATCACTAACTTTATTAACACCCATTTTAAAAATAAGAGCAGTGTTAACCTTGCTGTAATAGAGATAAACAGCATTTTTCAAATAGCATCTTCTATGGCTCACCTTTAAATTATACAAACAAAACTCTCCAAGAAATAGATGATTCTATTAAACAAAATTAGTTCTGGGAGATGTGGAATTACTTGAGCACAATAAAACCACAAGACATACCTATACAAAAGTGACATTTGGAAAAAAAAACACTTTAAAAATTTTTACACAGAAATCTCTCAAATGGATCTAAATTCCAATCACAGTGTGATCATGCAAAAATTACAATCACTTGAATATGCAACCAAAGACAATAAAAAACCTGCTTGATTATCCAATAACAAGAAGAATTTGCCCAAAAACACAAATAATTAAAATCTAAAAAAGCCTGTGGCCCTGACAGCATCAGAAATGAAATGCTTAAAAACAGCACTCCTGAGCTGCAGATGGCAGTGCTCAAATTATTAAACTTTGTCCTGAGTTCAGGCTGTTTTCCTGACATCTGGAACCAACGACTTCTAACCCCAATCCATTAGAGTGGAGATAAATTGGACCCTAACAATTTTAGAGGCATCTGTTTGAGCAGTAATCTGGGGAAAGTGTTTAACAGCATTTTAAATAACAGAATTCTGTCTTTCCTTAACAAACACATTGTCCTGAGCAAGAGTCAGATTAGCTTCACAGAACTACTGACCACGTTTATACCCTACACATCCCAATAAACCAACATGTACACCAAACATAAAAAAGGAAAACATGGAATTTTGCCTGGTTTGTAGATTTCAAGAAGGCATTTGATTCTATTTGGCATTAAAGGCTTTACTATAAACTTCTACAGAGCAGTGTAGGGGGTAAAGTTTATGATATCTTCAAATCAACGTATTCGGGAAACAAATGTGTGATAAGAATTGAAAACAAACGTACAGAATTCTTCCCTCAGAAAAGAGGAGTGACGCAGGGCTGCAGCCTGAGTTCAGCACTGTTCAACATCTACATTAACGAGTTAGCGGTGCATCTGAAACAGTCTGCAGCTCCTGGACTCACTCCACAAGATGAGAAGGTGAAGTTCAGTGCTTCTGTCTTTCAGCACACTGGGGCTATAGCAGCACCTGGACCTACTGAACCGGGCCCTGTTAGTAAACCTGCCTAAGACAAAAGTTATGATCTTCCACAAAAGGCCCAGGTGTCAGGAACACAGATACCAGTTCACTCTGGACAGCACTGCTCTGGAGCACACCATGCAGTACACTTACCTCGGCCTCATCGTTAATGCATCCGGGAGTTTCAGTGCGGCAGTGAATGCACTGAAAGAAAAAGCCTGCAGAGCGCTGTACGCAATCAGGAGGAGATTCTACAATATTGACATTCCCATCTCGGTCTGTTGTAAAGTGTTTGATAGTGCGATCCAGCCCATTGCGCTGTATGGGAGTGAGGTGTGGGGTCCACTGAGTGAGCACAGCTACACTAGATGGGACAAGCATCCATCAGAAGCCCTGCACGCAGAATTCTGCAGAATGATCCTGAAAGTCCAAAGGGAAACGCCAACCAATGCACGCAGGGCAGAATTAGGCTGATTCCCTCTATTAATAAACATTAAAAAAAAAGATCTCTAAATTTCTGGATGCACTTTAAGATGAGTCCCAGAGAAACACTGCACTACAGAGCCAAGAACTGAACCCTGAGCAGAGCTTCCTCAGTCATCTGGTTCTGAGGCTTTTTAAACCTTCTAACAGCTCCTAACACACAGCAGCCTCGCTCCAGCACTGCTTTACAGCCCAAATTAAACATTAATCATATCATCCAAAACAGTAAGAATGATTATCTGGAACATTGGGGAAAAGAAATTAACACTCAGAATCAATTAAAATGCTATCAGGCCCTTAAAACAGGGCATAAATTGGAAGAGGCAGAGACAGATCCTGACCAAGTACAGACTCAGTGACCACAGCCTGACCATAGAACAGGGCATAAAAGTTCCTGGCTGCCCAGAGGGGAGAGGCTGTGTGCCCACTGTGTGACAGGTGAGGTTGAGACAGAGATGCACTTTCTTCTTCACTGTGACAAATTCAAACTAACACTGACAAAAAAATTAGAAAGCTGATCTCAATTTTTGAAAAATATACACAAATTGAAAAATTACAAATAATCCTTGGAGAGGGTGTACACTTGCTGCTAAATATGTTACAACATGTCACTGCCGGAGAGACAGTGGGTAACACCCCCCCATACTCCCACCCTCCATTTCCCCACCCTAATGACCCCCACCCTTCTGACCCACACCCCACATACTTCCCACCCTTATGTCCCCACACACTCCCACCCTTCTGACCCCCAACACTACACATAAGTTTAAAAAAACAGATTCCAAAATTGTATAATTAATAACTATACAACACATTATACAATTAGGTTTCTTTCTGGTATTCAACAATGTTATTATTGTTAAAGCAATAAGCCACGAGAGGATGTGAGTTACAGCGATTTTATCACAGGAAGGGCGTTCTCCCCTCGCAGCCATGGACAGTTGAATGAGGAGAATGTTTGGTCGCCCATCACTGTATATTGTAGTGATTCCATGATTTTTTCATATAACATTGAACATATGATAACACAGCAATTTTTAAGGCAAAACTTTTGATTGCACTTTTTGGTCACCAGATTACCACCCCGAGTCTTATTTAGCACCAATCCAGCAGCACCCCTCTTCTCACCCTGGGGCTGAATCTCAAACACTCCCTGCTCTCTACACAGTGCACTACGTAGGAATTTAAATACTGGATTCTGAACCCCAACAGTGCAAAATATAGCTAAGACATAGTCATTTGGGACTCATCCATACTTGATAAATGGTGCGCTATTTGGCTGTAGAGGCTAGAATTTCTAAACTTTCATAGCTAGAACACTATTTAGAGAGTACAGAACCGTTTGGGATTCAGCCTGGGTTTGAAGGTACAACTGACTGAAACACTAAAATTTGAAGCATGTGATCCATTCAAGTGACATTTTTAAGACTTCTATACTGCCGTTTTACAATTAATCATACCATAATTACTTAAATTCAAGTCTGTGATGTTAATGGCAGAGCTGTTTAGCCTTTTAGCTAGCTGACCAGTTCTAGTTAAGAACGAAAGTCGCCAGCCCCTCAGTTTAAACAAAAAACGAGTTCTTACTTCATCAATATACTCGGTGGTCTGTGCGAGCAGCATTAGTCAAAGATTATTCCATTAACAGCACAAGTGTATTTTTTTTGTGGCGTAGTAATACACAGTTCAGTTCTTGAGGTGGTCATAGGAGTGGTATATCAGGAATTTTACAAAAGCTTTGAGTGCGGCTCAGCCAATCAGATT